GTACGGTACGTTACCGGTCGTTACCCGTACCTACGTACGGTACGGACGTAGTAGTACGTTACGTCGTCGTACTACTACTACTACCTACTCTCGTATATATATATATATATATATATATATATATATATATATATATATATGTACATTTAATTTTCTGGCCTTTAAACTTAATTCTCTGGCCTTTAGAAGCTTTCTCAGTATCTATTTCATCACTCTCTCAACCTAGGCCTACAATATGTAGTTGATCATGTTTCCCCTATGCTGCTTTAATTCCAGTGCCCTAAATCTTTTGAATGCTTCGATGTCCTTGAGATCTTCAAAGGCCAGCTCCCTTCTCTCCATAGACGTCATGAGCAAGATCCTCTTGTGAAGCATCTTTATCTTCATCTTGATTCTTATTATAGATTAGATCTCCTAAGAGATCTAGGTTGAATTCGAGTCGACTCGACCAAAACTTGGCACAAATCAGCAAACCTTAAACTTGACTGTAGTTCCTTGGCCTTGTTGTTGAAGAAACCTGAGCTCCAATGCCAAATTGATGTAAGGAAATTGATATAGAGCATAAAAGAACAATGATTCAGGCCAACCGTAAGCTATCTCTTAGAGAAACCTGATGGTTCTCCTTGACCAAAAGCTAATCAAGTTGCAACAAAACACAAAAGCTTCCTTCTTTTCAACGTATTCGCATGAATGATAACTCAAGGGCCTCACACACTCTTAAATAATGTCTATGTTACTGTTCAAGGACATTAAATGTCCGTAAAATGAATAATGACAATTCATAAGTCATAACATTTTTAATGACAATTTTACCGCTGATTAAACAGAATATTCCATAATAAGTACTTTCTAACATCCCCTAAAAATCCTAAAATTATAAAAAACCCAAGAATCCTTATAACTACTTAAAGTCCTAACTCCTAAAACTAAACCCCCCCAAAAAAATTCGAAAAATACTTCCCTAGAATTTAATATGAAAAATTTAAAAATAAGAGACATCTTCTCCTGCATCAGATATTTAGAACTGAAGTTACTTGAGTTCATACTTAAACACTTCATGTGATATTTAGAGCTAAAAATTGTAGCCCGCAACTTTCTTGCATCAACAAGCATCTTATCTTCTACTAAACAGCTTTCTTTTTCTAAGATGGCTCTGTGTTATGTGTTTGAGTTTGTTGTGCGTGGGGTATGCGTGTTTATGTGTGTTTTCTTTGCTGTCTTAGCCCTAACTGTAAGCTGATTGTTCCAGTTTTCTTTTTATCTGTGTTATTTTTATATCTTCCTGCTGCAAAGAGACTATAAATAGGCACAGATGCATTCATGGGGATGTGGATAGACAACTGATACATTCATCTTTGTTTTTTACAACATGATGCATTTTCAAATTGAAATGTTGACTGTAATACTTGCTTCTTACAGGAAATTATTTTGATCCAGTTTTCTATTTGGTTAATCCTCAGCACAAGTGAGTTTTTGATTCTAAATATGGTAATCATTCGCTGATGTGATTTTCTTTGTCTTGAATTTTCATTTGTTTTAGAATAACAATATCATATAGGTAAGTCATTAATTATTCACCTATGTTTAAGTAAATTTATCACTTCCTGAATCAAAGTCAAAGGCAAAAATGCAAGTCCATGGATGGACATATTGGGACTTTTCTACCTAGCTGACCCCTTAATATTTATATTGTTGGGCTGGCAGATTTGATATACTACTACTCCCTGATATACCCTTTTATGTAGTTCTTGATGACATTCGCTCTGATGCCTGATCCTTTCGAACAGAATCCAGATGATGGTTCCTTTTGCCATGACAACAGAATCCATAGTGTGCTATCATCGATGCTTCATGTGTGAAATTTGTTGCCACGGAAGGCATTTGTTTCATTTTCCTTCATACTGTGTACACGTGAGAGGATTTTCCCCTCATATTGCATTTTTATGGTATTTCCATGTGTAATGATTATGTGTTCTTATTTTTCTTCCTTGTGTCATAGGCATGTCTTTACTTCCATTGGCAAATTGCTGGTAATACGCTTGTATGCTATAATGGGTTATAGGGATTGATCAATTTTTACTTAGAACTAGTATGTTACTTCAGATATTTGTGGATATGGTGGTTGTTAACTTCCCTTATCTTAACATGTGATTTGACATTAGTCATTGGGGCACAAGTGAATCGCATCTGCAATTGACCTATATGGCCTCTTGTTATATTGATTCAGGAATTGTTTAAATGAGAGACCTTATATCTTTGTCATGGTTGGCGTGCATCAAATCAGTTTTATCAAACGTCGGATGTGGACTCGATGTAGTCGGAGATGGATACGCTAGGCCAAGATGCAGTTTTGATCTGGGCACATCACCTCTGATGCAGTCAATAATTCTAAAAGATTTAAACATTATAAATAGAAGAATGTAAAGAAAAACATGTGTGATGTTATGTGATACTAGGCATTTAGTACTTATCTCCAATATATTAGCTGTTTGGGTCGCTTGATAACCTGATAAAGAGTAGGAAGGTTTGTTGTCTATGTTATTCTCTAAATATTCTAATGCAATTAACATGTAAAACGAACAATGCGATTCCATCCCATTCAATATATTAATTAATAAAACTCAAAATTCCAAATATTCATCACATAACATCCACACTACAGGTTTTAATCATCTTAGAAACATCATGTTGGACAACACTATGAATGGTTCAATGTATACACCTTGGATGTATACAATGTGTATAATGTTGATGCCAGGCTAAGCAAGCTGTAAAGACATTAGATTGGTGGTGTATACATTTCCTTTCATATACATATACAACACCATGTTGATGGGTATATACATCTTGTTTGTACATACAATACACATTGTCATACACATAGTCACTCTGTATGCCTTCACAGAGTATATTGTAATACACTATATGATGTATGCCTATACGTATATACAGTACTCATATGGTGTGTATATGGTATTAGACATAGCATATAATTAAAAATACACCATATAATGTATGCAATGTTTTAATTAAAAACCAGTCTGCCTGGCTCCTAGGCGCCTGCCTAGGTGGCCTGGAAAAAATATCCGCATGCCTAGACCTAGGCTATCCTACATGGGCGGATGTACTTGGGTGGGCGCTTAGGCGGGCGCCCAGGGTCGTAAGGCCTTTATCGTTTTTTTAAATCGCCCAAAAGGGCAAAAAGGGTCATTTTGACCCCCAAAGTTGTATAAAAACATTATGGGGTTTATTTTTAACCCCCAAAGTGAAAAAACAAAATCCTCAATATATGAAAACCCCCAAAGTGAAAGAAACTACAGGGCGTTCGAGTTCTAGGCGCCCGCCTAGGCGCTGGGCACCAAGCAGGCCACCTCGGGGCCTCCTAATGTTTTTTGAAACCTTGAATGTACATCTATGCATATATACAATACTCATATGGTGTGTATATGGTGTTAGACACAACATATAATTAAATATATATATGACATTGTAGATATGTAACTTATATATGTATATATGTATACATACACAAGAATGTATAAATATGTATACATACACATTGTGTGTGCACTTGTGTTATGCTGTGTACACACCAAATCTTGTTAATAATGTGGTGTATGTTAGGTGGAACAAGGTGTGTAAGTTTGGGTATAAAATGGTTCCAAGTGTTTTTTTTTTTTGTTTATTTGTTGTGGGGGAGGATATACCTGCCACATCCAAAACCTTGGCCAGTTTTTGTGGGAGTAAAAAGAACATTTGCCCCTGCTCGTGGTCATATTTCCCACCCACAGATGCATATGTGTGCACATTGCCTAGAATGCAATGTTCCCACACATGCAGGTGATGCGCCGCACATATGTGGGTGCATCACCAAATCCCTCTTATGTGGGTCCCTTGATGCAGTGCGGGATCTATAATACTTGATGCAGCCACAAAAGGCGTTATGCAGCTGCATTTGATGGCAGTTGATGCAAGGAAATTTGAGGGAACAAAACAATTAGCAAGAAAGAAACCAAACACAAGCACAAGTCGAAGAAACCTAGGGTTTCTTTTCCATACCCATCTAAAAGCCTACACTTTTCTGTTTTTCCATGTCTAAAAATCATGTGGAATTGACCCCCTCAAGGCCCCACACACCTTATAAATTATAATTCAATGTTTAAGGACATTACATGTCTCTAGTTTCTCGGAACTTAACCTCAGGGCCCAATCCAAAATCGTTTACCTTTCCACCCTGAAAAAGGAAGAGATCTACTGGTTCTAGAGATCCAGGGTTAAGTGGTTCAAAACAGGCGACCAAAATACAACCTTCTTTCATCGGATAGCAAACTGTCACCGTAGGGACAATACCATCTAGGTGCTCAAAGTCAACAATTGCTTTCTGACTCAACCTTTACAAAATTGAGCAGGCCATCATAGATTTCTTTCAATCTCTTTACTCTCAACCCTCTGGCTCGAGGCCTTGAATGGATGATCTCACCTCCTGACTTTGAGGGAGGACTTAGCAGCCTCTTTGGGACAACCTTTCGCTAAGGAGGAGATCCTCCAAGCCCTCAAAGCCCTTGCTGTTGACAAAGCCCCAGGTCTTGATGGATTCCCTATTGCCCCCTTCCAAACTTTTTGGGGCACTTTTTGTCCCGACTTTAACAATTTCTTCCAGGAATTTTTTCATAGGGGAATCATTCACAAAGCCATAAATGCCACCTTTATAGCCCTGGTGCCCAAAATTGAAGGGGCTGAGGAAATCAAGGACTTTCGACCCATTAGCCTCCTGAACTTCACCTACAAAATCCTGGCTAAAGTCTTAGCCTCTAGACTTCAGAAAGCTCTCCCGATAGTTATCTCTCCTTCCCAATCTGCCTTTATCCAAGATAAGCAAATCTTGGATGGGGTCTTGGTAGCTAATGAGTGTCTCCACTCTAGACACCTAGCTAAGAAACCTGGTTTAATCTTCAAAATAGACTAGGAGAAAACCTACGATCATGTAGACTAGTCTATTTTGGATGAAACCATGTCGAGGATGGGCTTCAGAGATCGCTGGAGGAGGTGGATGAGGGGATGTTACTCTAACCCCCATATATCCATTCTCCTTTACGGATCACCGAAAGGTTTCTTCTCAGCTCACAGGGGACTCCGTTAAGGGGACCCCATATCCCCTATCCTCTTCGCCATAGCCGCAGACGTCTTCTCTAGATCCCTCTCTCACCTCTACCAGCACGGTCTCCTTTTGGTTTCACCACCAGCAACCACGGTCCCTTGGTGTCACACCTGCAATACGCATATGACACCTTGGTTTTCCTTGACGCCACCCGTGAGGAGATCGACACCCTCAAACTCTTTCTCCTGTGCTACCAGTCAACTACAGGGTTTAAAGTCAACATGAGTAAATCCAAGATGATGGGAGTTGCTTTGACTCCTGACGAGGTGGCTACCCTCATTCCAGACTGGGACTGCAAAGTGGAAGATCTCCCCTCCACCTACCTTGGTCTTCCTTTGGGGCTTGGGAACCCAAAATGAGTCTTTGGTCCCAGGTCCTTGATAAAGTAGAGAGACGCCTCTCCACTTGGAAAGGTAGGTATCTCTCACCAGTGGGCAGATGCCGGCACTGGGGACTTTCTTATGTCATTGTTCCAGATGCCGGCACAAGTGGCCAACCGCATAGAACTACTGATGTGAAACTATCTTTGGCTTGGCCAAGCAGAGAAGACTAAATTTCACTTGGTAGCTTGGGATAACATGTGCCTTCCAAGAAAACAAGGGGGCCTAGGGATTCAAAGCCTCAGAAGGCATAACACAACTCTCTTAGGTAAATGGTGGTGGCGACTGGCCACCCAACCGCATGCTATTTGGGCCCAAATTTTGCGCAAAAAATACAAAATCCAGAATGATACTTGGTACCAAAGAGCATCAAAAAACAGAGGGCGTTCGGAGTGTGGCTGTCTTTAGCTTCTTCCCTTCCACTTTCAAAAGGCACATTAGATTCCACGCTAGAGTTGGCACCAAAGTCAAATTCTGGAAAGAACTTTGGATTGGTACTTCACCTTTGTGCAAAGCCGTCCCCTCCCTCTTCCTCTTCCTCTCCTCTGATGGCAAGTCTATTGTCGCTGACAAACTGCCTATTGTTGGTGGCAGAAGAACTTTGTCACACCCGAAGAATTTACAATACAGATATTCCTGAGATGTGACAGTCAAAACATATATACATTTCTTGATAGGACAAATTTACAGTGGTGAATTCTTACAAAGTAAAAAAAGAAAGACTTAAGACTACAACTA